ATGCATTTTACAGTGATGGGGTGACCCACAATGCATTTCTACAGTGATGGGGGTGACCCACAATGCATTTCTACAGTGATGGGGGTGACCACAATGCATTTCTACAGTGATGGGGTGACCCACAATGCATTTCTACAGTGATGGGGTGACCCACAATGCATTTCTACAGTGATGGGGTGACCCACAATGCATTTCTACAGTGATGGGGTGACCCACAATGCATTTCTACAGTGATGGCGTGTCAAACAATTTCACTGATGCAATGAAATGATATCCCACAATATAAGGCAGCAGTGACTGGGTGTCCCATAATGCATTGCTACAACCACAATGAAAGTTGCATGCTTTTTCTTCCAACAAATCTGAACCTGCTATGATAACATTCTAGCCTTGACAACAACCGTTGCTAGGGTATGGAGTTACAGGCATTAGATTACAGTGTCCTTCAGCACAGTTCAGTAGATCCAGAATCCAAATACATCAAAGAAGAACAACATCCAATGCCTCTCTCTGTGCCATACCATGAAATCAATGCTGCTTAATTAGCTAAGTGTAATAAAGAAACCCATCAAAACTAAGAGAGTGTGGACTTTATAAGTACAACAGGAGTAAAAAATAAACAAACAACTTTAAGTTTAAGCATAAATCAAATAAACCAATCACAGTGGTGTATTTAAGGTTGCGCAACACAGCTGTTGATATTGAGTCAAATTATTTATGAATAGGGTGGCTGAGATTGAGGAGACAGGGACATGCATGTTTCTAAAAAAAAAAGATTTTTTAAATATAATAAAAAATATACTTTATTAATGTATCAGGGCCTGAAAATAGTATTCGTAAGGCGGTTTAGAATTTACTGTATCAAACAATGTAGATCATCTGACGGAAAAAAGTGTGCCGTATAATTTCTAAACCGGCGGGGCTCTGAAGAAGTTTGAAAACACTGATGCCCTACACCTACGCTTGCAAGTTCTCAGGATTTAATTTGGAATCTGACATTTCTAATAAAATGGAGAACGTCCGGAATGCAAACAAGGAGGGATTGAGAAGTAGGGGGTGACATTATTTTCATACATGTGGACGTGGAACCTCTTGAAGATATTGTTGAGATTAGTCACCTGTATTGAGATAGGTTGAGTTTGTAACAATCACTGGTTGTGTTTTAACAACCTGAGATTTAACAAGATCTGGCGGAAAATCTAATTTTTTTTTTAATAGAAATGTACATCAACCCAAAATGGCTGCCATTTTGAATTACTATTGCACAATGGAAATGTTGTGCAATAATTTTATTATTACTTGACAAAATTTCAAACTAAGTCTAGTAAAAGTGTTGTCTCTGTGATCTCCCAAAAAATTGAAGCATCCTATAGGAGTGGTAGTTACTATGGGACGCAGAAATGTGAGGGGGGTTTACAGAAGTAAAACTTACTTGCAACTTCTAACGTAGCATTATTACTATATGCAGTTCCTAAGTAGTTTGTAGCCACACATTGATACACCCCTGCATCTGGCTTAGTCCGTCTTCCATGGATTATCCTAAGGAAAAACAGGGATCCACTGGGGAGTAATGTCCGATGACTTTTGGGATTTTCGGCTATCGTCTCTACCAATTCGCCATCCTTATACCACTGTAAAAAAAGAGAAATAAGTGTTTACCAATTATTATGATTATGAAAAAATTTATCTCTAATAGAAGTGATTTATTATATTCAGTGTGCCAAGTATGTTCTACATTTGTATATTTCATTAATTAGTTTTTAATCGGAAATTATTTTTTTGCCATCTTTTTATTTAAAATTGTTTAGTCTACGTAATTACTGAGCCAAATTGACCGACCAGGGTGGTGCCAAACAAACACACATATGGTAAGATACTAGTTAGTATGCAGAGGCTATACATATGTAACTAGACAGCTGGTAGATTAGTTTTTGTTCACACATAATTTTTATTCCAGCTGTATATCTGCATTAAAAGATGCCACGTCATCATTCCTCAACATTGAGGGCTGGTTTCCCGCATGAAGTTGGATTGTGGGACAATCCCCCACGTGTAGTTGGTAACATACATTGTACTACCATATTGACAAGTTGTACCAATATTCATTTTGTAGTAGTATATCCAGCTTCTTTCACGTTGATGCAAGAACTAAAAATTTTATGTAGAAAATTTGCAAAAATATGCTTTTATAAAACAGTACAAAATATGATTAGACAAAGATTTATACTAGTACTGCTTTGAAGAGCAAAACATTCGGAAAGAACAAAACAAACAGTAAATTACTGGTGGTATAATTTTTCATTGGATGAAACACAAAATTACCCACAAAGCACCACTTCTATTAATACATCGCCTGCTGACCCTCTCAGTCGAGGCTTTCAGCAAACGGCGTGTTGATCATTCGACCAATTACTATCTTCCCTGGTACGTTTAACGTTAAATATAAAATATAAAATGAAAATATAAAAGTCACATAATCATCATTGATTTTAACAATATCCAAGAGAAAATACGGTCCACCAAGTTGTTTCGTTTGTTTCACCATATATAATATTTTATTCGTATTAAATCGTTCATCCTTCCCACTATACATGAATTATTGATGTGAATTTAACGATCTATTACTTGAAATCATAGTATCAATTCTAAAGGGATATGGAGTCGGTTTTAATACCTATAGTGCAAGTATTAAATTATATACTGTCAGTTTTGACGGGTTGACCGTGAAATTAATTACCATAGTAAAAGCACCAAAACACCCGATGGGAATATAAGATTTAGATAAATATACCAAATGTTTATGAATTATGAACAAGTTAATGGGCGGTGGTTGTCGCGTCTCGTCCTGTTCGATATGGGTTTCATAGCTACGTAGACAGTTTGTTTACATGAAATTAGAATGCACGCTGCACAACAACCACTACCCGTTTAAGGATAATTTATCTTTTTTTTTTTTATCAAAATGAAGAACTATTTAAAGTAGGGATATTTCTGATGTAGAATTTGTTGTTGAAAAAATTAAATTATTGAGAATGAATTTCACAAACTGAGTAATTTTTTTTTTTCAAATTTGGACACAATTTATAATACACAGAGTAACAAAACAATTACCATGGCAACCGTAAGATTAACAGTACTCAAAACTAATACAATATAAATCAGAATTCTTGATAAAAAAATTTTTATGTTGTCAAAAAATATTTTGAAATGTTGGGGGAAAACGAAAAAATGTATTTAACGGTATGTTGTGTGTCACAAAAAAAAAATTTTGCGAAATTACAATAAAAATTATGGACTGTCAAATCTGTTTTATAATATCGCTCAAAAGAAAAATCAAATTATAGCTAAATCTGTTAATTCAATATTTGTTAACGTGAGTAGACTAATATTATTATTTTAAAATAAGATAAATAATATTATTAAAACTTTAAGCAAATTATTAAAATAACATTATAACTAAAAGGGTTCTGAGTTATAAACTAAAGAGGACAACATAGCTACTTGAAATAATCTACATCATGAGAGATTCAGTACATTTGCATATGACTGCCAATTCTAATTAATTTCCAAATAATAAACATGTGTTTGATAACAGTGCTATAAGTTGCTGATAAGTTTGCCAATGGATACATGGTGGTGAGTTAAAGGGGCACCTTCCAGTTAAGCTTAATCTCACAACAAATTTACTTTTTGGATTAAAATAACAATGGATAACAAAAGATAGATTAACATTGTAAACAACATAAACAATAGTGTCCCATGATTCTTTGGTGCAATCCATGGGATTGAGCGATTCCCCTTTAAATTTTCTGCACTTCCAAATAGTGATTTTATCAGATATAATGCACGCACTAATACTGTATTTCGCTCTACTCAAATTTGTATGCTGGATCATTGAAATATGATTTATTTTGATCGCAAACACACCTTTTAGTTATTTAAATATTAAAGTGCATGCGCTACGAATAGAGTGAATACAGTATTTAAACTTTTGAAAGGTCATGGATTCAGTCTGTCTAAAAAGTTTGCTTAATATAACAAAAGAATTCAAATCAACTTTGACAATGAACTACGAATCTCCATTTAGTCAAATTCATGACAACTATGACAATGAAATAATAATACGACGTCAGTTTCAATGTCTATTCAAATAACTCAAACATAAGATCAATTTTGACAATGAAACATAAATCTATATTTTTGGAACCAAAGACAGATTTAATCTTGTAAACAAGAAAGAGCAATTATTTGACAAAAAGATCGAATGACAAGATCAATAACATTTATTTGCAGAGATGCTGTAGATGGAAGCCACGAACTGAACAAACGATCAGGCTTAATATCACGATGTTTGAATGTAGTAATGTGCATACAACTATGAAGCAAACCAGTCGCCATCACGGCCACATACGAACATGTAAATACATGTAGCAATCTGATGTAGACACGTGTCAGAAATATACATCTTAGAACACGCTGAGTATACGTCTAGCATTTTCAAATCACCACTTTTGAATAAATACATTACTTATACATTGTGTTGTCTACACTGCCCTGATCCAAATACTTGTGCAATGCCTAAACTACTGACACAATCCAGCTGGATTCTATCTACTGGTATCTTAACTACTATTTTATCTTTTCTGTTATTATTACTTTGGAGTATGTGATTAATTAATCTTTTTTTTCTGTGACAATTGCAACCGGCTAGGTCAAATCAATTTCCTTTACGTCTATCACGAAACACATTCTCAAGGAACACATGCGTTTATTCGTAAACCATACATTCCGGCTTTTAAGATGCGCATTCATTAGTTAGAAAACCTTAGTTCCCTTATTAGTATTATTTTTTTCTGTAGAAGTACATTGGTCAAGTTTTGGACTTTTTCGTTTGGGTTTGATCGTCACAAAAAATAATTAGCATGCCCTGCCAGAGGATGCCAGTTTGGTTGTTTAACAATCTTGCAGACAGATTGTAAAGCTATAATAACCAATATTTCTGTCTACTTCGTCTAATACCGAAAAAAGCATCGATATACTTGACCCTTCATCTTTTGGTGGTATTACTGTCAAAATACAGCAACATTTTTTCAACACCGACTTATTACATTATTTGGGGGGAGGGGGCATAACTGAAAAATTCTCATCGAATGGTTTTACTTTCCCAAAGTACCAGGATGTGTGACATTTTGGGGTCATACATATTTCTCAACTTAATTAGTGAGCACCAGGGTCACTAACTTCTGTCTTTCCAAGATGTGGAGATCATTATTAGTCAATACAGAGACCCCCCTATAGGGCAATTTTGTTTTTACAAGTGCTACAAGTGTAAAATATTTCCTACCAGACTACAATGTGGAATAAAAATGGTTTTAATTTTTTCGAGGAATTTTTCAATTAAAACGTTTTTATCTGAATGCATTCAGCAGAAAACTACTCATTATTTCCTGACTACTGGGCTTGCAAATTCAAACAAACCCGGCGAATTTGGACCGTATGATCTCAGTGTATTCCAACACGTTGACAGAAAATGTGGAAGCATTTTCGAAGAATCTACGCGCAAGGTTAATTTAAGGGTGACAATTTAGGATCAAATTAGTGATTGGCAGAATAAAAATTGTGGGACTTTATTCCAATCGTGCATCAGTGTGCCCCATGTGTCAGTATGATGTGCCAGTGATCATGTATAAAGATTTGCTATGACACAACTACTTGCGCTAATTCACTGGCACGTAATTGATGCAACAGAAAATCGTACATTGATATTACAGTGATCTTAAAAACATTTTACTATAGTGATTGGATTGGTAAAATGAAATTCACATTTTATAAACAAAATAAGGGTAAAAATGAATTAAATCGGGGAACACAAAATTTTTGGGTGTGCTTCAACACCAATAAAGTTGTACACAATTTAATTTTTTTCATGAAAACCGACTTCCCCAGTTAGGCTTTAATACTCAACTCGATTTTGTGGATTTCATTTCGGCTCGAGATCTGCACAGAATCAGTTCTGTTAGAGGGCACACTATTGTGCATCAAGGTAAAAATTCAAAATTTTGTTTTCGAATAATTCAGATTATTACAATAAATAGCGTTGAACACAGATACTATTGCTGGAAAGAAAATGTTGACTCGCTGTATTTATTTTTCTCAAGTGAAAAAATGTAATTTTTTTGGCACGACTTAGTTTTTGTAGACGCTAAAATAAATCTATACATACACTGGCAATGGTGTGGAAAAAAGTTTTAGTGGAGGGAATCCTGCGATCATTGTCTGAACCAAACAGTATCATAGCGTTACGTTTGCATAAAAGTTCACGCCTCCACATAATGCGCGTTCGCTATTGTCATAAGAGACTCCGATATTTATCATGTGTGCATTCATTTAACTATGCAAATTGACACAGGTGGAAATGAGTTGATTTTTCGTGATCGATCTTTGAACATGGGTACCCTTCCTTTGTCAATATAAGTATAGCGACTGACATCACCCACTTGACCTGTTGACCTCCCCCTATACTATGAAGTGGTGTGGTGCATTTAAAGCATGCTGGATGAAACCATTGAATTAATAGGGGTGGAAGTGTAAAAATGTATGATGGGGTAATTTCTGAATTTAACATTATAGTTTTACATGTTTTAAAAAAGTTACTTTGTATTTTATAAAAGTACACATAAACCAAATATTCTATCTATTGTATGCTGGATCTTTAAAATATGATTTATTTTGGACTTAGACATATCTTAGTCATTATCGGTAATAAAAACAATTTTTTTTCAACAGAGACAATTTACATCTGAAATGGTATTTTTGTATCACAGGTCATCAGAAGTGGTGAAAATACAAACAAAATTTTTTTCTGCAAAAATGTAAATAACATTTTAGTACGATAAGTGTATTGCTACAAGTCCCAAAAACATTTTTTCATGTATGTATGTGCCAATTTTTCCAATTTTCAAAGCAAGATTTAACTTTGTGTGTAGTCTTCCAATCGTGAAAAACTAAACCTTATTAAACTAAGATGTGAGAGAATTCCAATCAGAAATGGAAATTGTGTTATACCTCTATCTCGGGCCTTGGCTGTCCCTCGGCTTTGCAATTCAACGTTGCTGGTTCGCTTTTGGAACTATGATGCTGGTTGGATGCTCCGTAATCCGAGGTGCAAAGTCATCAGTGTGTCGTCTGGCCGCAGCAACTGTGAAAGAAATAATATCAAGAGATTAGTAATTCAAGTCACACAGTCAATTGGTGAAACTGTCAGCAACTCCTGTAGTCTGTCTTCGGTTTACACAGATGTGGGAATTATGGTGACGATGTTCGCGAAATTACAATTTCGTCTCGTCTAGAGAAGTATCCTAGAAGAGATGGACAGCTGCATCATGCTCCCAACCACACTTGACCATTCATTTTTGTTTTATTTTTATTTATTCAAAAAAATGTGAAAGTCTAATAATGTGATCATTTTATCTATGATTGAATCAGTGATTAAATCAGTTATAGTAAAGAAGCAAACCAGGGTTGATAACGCCTCACTGATCTGTCCTGATAATCCACAATTTGAGTTTATAATTATACATTTATACAACAACATGAACAAGATGACTGATGCAGTCAGTGAGTTGCCCCATACAGTTTAACCCTTTGAAATGCAAAGCCAAAATTTTTCCTCTTTCACAATTTTTTTTTCAAATTTTTTCAAAGAATTTGATCAAAACCAATGGCCAATAGGAAATTATGTCAAGCTGATCCAAAATTAACAAAGGAATGACAGAAAAATGTTAAAAAATGTACAAAATGTTGCACCCAAGATTTTGGCGGGACATTTTGATGCCACATTTTGCCTATTTCTATGTATTTTATTCATAATTGTTT